ATATTTTATTTGAAATATTAAATAGAAATTATTAATGGAGTAATTTATATTAATATACTGTATTATAATAATATAATATACTAATATATTATATTATTAATGCACATTAGTCGACATCCTGTCGACATAATAGGAAAAATTGTCTTTTTTGGTTATTTGGACCAATTTGGTCAACATTTCCAAAATATAGGAAATGTCGACCAAAATAATGTAATTTTTATATTACCATCCATTTTCATGTCGGTGAGCCTCGACATCGACATATGTCGGGTGACATTAGTGACATTTCGCAACATTTGAAACCATGCTTATAACAAAAGGTTGCCAGTGCCCATATAGGACACTAGGAACCTACCTAGGCCATATGGCGGTGTGTATGTTACTTATTCTTTGTTATGGGATTTTACCATTGAGATGTAAAAAAGATCCAAGGATTTTGAGAAGAGAAGGTAAAAGAAGTCTCTCTCTCTCTCTCTCTCATTTTTTATTAGTATAAAACTATAGCCTTTTTAGTTGCTATTTTTTTTTTTGACATGCTAATTTTTTTATTAATATAAAACACTCATTATTATTATACTGTGTTTAATATAGATTTAAAATGCTACCGTATTTTAATTATGATGAATTGCCTTGTTTTGAGAGGAAAATCAATATTTAGTAAAGAAAATTTCTATTTTTTTCAAATCATATGCATATTGATTTGTTTACAAAACCAAGGAACTAACCTAGAATTTACTCATTTCTCTGTAAAATTTGTATTGCCTAGCTTCTGCCTAGGTGACTATCTTCTCCACTTTGGCCTAGAATTTTCTATGTATGCTTTGACAGTTATGCCAAGAACATTTGGAATACAAAATTGACAAAGGTTTATCACTTTTTCTTGATCTTCTAGAAACATGCTGACTGATGAATTAGCAGTTCTTTTTGTTTCTTTAATTTCTACAGTGATTCCCTTTACTTAATGATGAAGGGAGATTTCTTTGGGTCCTTGTACTCAAATAGATCTTGTGATTCAGTATTAAAAAGGCTTGCAACTTCAGCAGGAAGTAATTCATGGGGTTGTACTTGCATATTTACCCTGGGCCTTATTAAAATTTTGGCTTTGGTTGTTTTGATGTCTGTTTGAGAGTAGCCACTTTTTGCAAAAAATACCCAAAGGATAGGTCTGTATCCATCCATCCCTCCCAAGACCCCAGATATCTAGGACCAACATGGGGTAATGATTTTTTGTTTTCAATTTCTGATATTTCTTAATTGTTCTCTACCTCTTCCATGTGCTAGCTTGTATAAGAACATAGCGGTGTCACTTTTCCTGTCATGTTAGCTTTGTGCAGGATGGTCTTTGCATTTTGCAATTGTGCATTTGTTCTTATTTGTATTTATTCTTCAATGTGATATTGAACAACGTCCTCTTGCATTTGTTTTTATTCCTTGTCTTCACCCCACTCGGCCACTCCTTTAGTCCATTAGGTTAATATTTTGGCATATCTTGTACTACCTGTATCTTTTGTATACGAGGTTGCTATACTGTTATTTCCTTTTTTTTAATGCTTATTCTTGCACGTATATAGCCATTAACAAAACAATCTTTCTTGGTGACCAAGCAGGTTGGCATAAGACCTAATGGAACGGATACACTAGTTACTGTAAATCCCAAGCCTGTCACCTGGACCAACTCAAAGATCCGTCCTATAAATGATGCCTGGAGGAAACGACCAAAGAAAACAAAAATCGTGCAGTCTGCATGGTGTGAAGTCTGCAAGATTGACTGTAATAGCAAGGAAGTACTGGACCAACATAAATTGGGAAAGAAACACAAGAAGAACCTAGAGAAATTAGAAGCGGCAAAGAAAGAGGCCAATGCTCCCATCCCTGCAGTTGCTCCAGTGGCAAATGATCCCCTAATAGGGCCAAAAGAAAACCCAGCAGTAGAGAAAGGCAAAACCATCAGTGTGCGGCCAACAAAGAAGAAGGCAACCTCATCATCAGCCTCTGGTGTGGATTTGGAGACAAAGAGGCAAAAGGTTATGGAAGGTGGAGCAGCACCAGATGCTGTTAAGGTGTGCACAATATGCAATGTGGTATGCAATAGTCAGATAGTCTTCAATTATCATCTTGCGGGACAAAAGCACATTGCAATGCTGAAGAAACAGGCAACAGTTGGAACAATGGCTGCCTAAGGGCTGGATTGCCTAGGAAAAAAAAACAGATCATTATTATTTTCTCATTTTCAATGGGGTTTGGTCCGGTGGGTTCTTTGCTTTTGGTGAAAGATAAATGTAAACCAGTCTTTGTCTCTCCCCAAAATATATCTCTAAAACCTCTCTTCCATACAAAAGTAGTGCTTGTTATGCTGAGAGACTTGGTGGTGTCTAAAGAAAAGAGAAGAAAAAGGTTGGGAAAGAGAGAAAATCCAAAGGCTACTCTGCAGGTTGCCTCATTGTTAAAAGAATTATTGTTCAGTCGTGGGTTAGTAGGAAAGAAGATCACTATAACAGTAATGTTTTAAAAAGAAAAGGTTGAAGTGGTCTAGATGACAAGCTATCTCATCCATGTGATGAATGGAATATAGAAAACCCTCCCCCATCTTAATCGAAACAACATCTTGTGTTGATTGTTACTGGGTTCTGGCCTTCTAGGTTTTTGTCGTTTGAAGACCCAGTAAGACATTAACCTAGAAGACCCAGTAATGCCTTCTAGGTTAATGTCATGGCCTCCTTTGAACCTTAATTACTCTTTTGAGGTTGTAGCTTTGGAGAAATCAAGCGTTCAAAGCAGAAGTATGGTAGTTGGTTTGTTGATTAGACAGGAAAGGATACATCCAAGCTATAGCCCCATGTGTTTAAATTTTCAGTTTCCCTTGAACATCGTGGGCCGGGTCATTGTGTTGGAACAATTTTTTAGTTGGGATGCCCGGACGACATAGGGAATTCGAATCCTCTTATTCTCGACTACAAATTTGGAAATCGTGGCGTATTAATTCAACATAGCCTTGGCCTCTAGGGTCCATACTTTCAGTTTCAGTCGTTGGTAGGAAATAATGAAGCGATGGGCAATTAGAATTGGTAATTCTCTCTTTGATGAATTGGGTTTGGTCCTCACAAAAACATCCTCAATAAAAGGCATAAATATTCCCGATGCACAGCTACGAAGACAGTGTGAGAACGGTTATGGTGAGGACTGAGGACCAATCCAATCCCCTCTTTCATCTTTTATCCGGTAGCCAGCCAGTTGACACGGGCCGTCTAGACAAGAGTTAGGAGGTTCCTACCGTGTTGTTCTAACTTCTGAGCCTTGAGTCCTGAGGCGTTGAGGACGTCGTCATTTTTTATTCTTTCTCAGACGACACGGATGAAACAATCATGGCCCACGTCACTTTTAGTGCCAAGTAAGATTAATGAAAATAGATACAAGATACAACTACTTACGGATGGATCAATTGTCACATTAGGTTGCTTTTGCAATTTTTAAACAAAACTTTACAAATGGTAAAACGAAAATCCACTATCCAGTTTTCACATCGTTGCAAACCAGATTTCATCCTCTGGAATCCATGCTCACAAACTGGTAAGTGGCTTTTGTCTTTGTTATTGTTGTATTTTTTTTCATTCATTTTTACAAGAAAATAGAAAATAGCTCAAAATCTTTAACTTCTTTGTCCCTAGTAAAAAAATGGTAAGTGACTTTTATCTTTGACTCTATTTGCTTCCCTCCAACTCTGCAAATGTTTTATTTTTTTTCTTCAACTTTGTAAGTCGGTAGATAATACTTCAATTTGGAGATTGAGATCAGTTTTAGGGTTTTACTGAGAAATAGAAAGAAAAAAGGGAAAATGATGGTTCAGCCTAGGGTCAGAATTTATAGGTCTAAAATATAGTTGGGGTAGGTGCCAGGTCGGAATTGATGCCAATTAACAGGTGGGCATTGGTGTATAGAGTGAGGGTTTTTAACATTTTAAATATTTATACTTCTGCACAGAAATCTACATTGGGCCTATCCGTACCTTTCCAAAGAAAAAAAAGAATCAACTTAACAACATCCAAAAGTTACATCGGTTTTTAAAAACATTATCTTTCTTACTATTTGACGTGGCAATAAAATTGATATAGACCAATAAGAAACTAGTTTAGGATGATAGCGTCATTTCTTTGAGTAGCTAAGTAAAACTCAGTTGTAAGACCTCATAGCAGTGGACCCCATATCCATATTGGTACAACAAGCACATGGACAACATCGTTGAGAGTCTTGAGACTTTGAGAAGATATATGGAAAATATCCCAGAGGTGCCCTTAAAAATAAACAGGAATATTTTTTATCTTTTAAAACATGTGAAAGATGACGTGCCCATAGCCCAATTCAGACCCACGGAAACAGGTGTATAATTAGAAAAATAAATAAATAAATAAATAAATTCCCGATCAAATATGTGATAGCGAGGAAAGAGAGAAGTGAGGCGAGGCTGAGCAAGTCTCATTGTCATGTTATACTACGACTAAAGCAACTTCGATATCTATGCAATTGTAGTCTGCTCCACCTCTCTCATTCCCGCTTTTCCTTCTTTATTACTGCTGCAGAGATTAAGAGTCAAAATGTGAAATTTGTGAATTTTTATGTTTAAAATTTTAGATATATCCCTGTGTAGCAACGGGGTGTATCGACACTTAAAATGACACAGTTATATATATTTCAATACATCCGATACAGGGCGTATCTTATCAAAATTTTGAACCTGATTATGAGTTTAGAGTGTATAAATATGTATGAATATTTTACACCAAAGAACAATGAAGTTTGTTAATTATGCTAATTATGGTGAATGATTTCCAATATACCCTAGAGTGATTTTAGGCACCCGATGAATAATTCTAAGTATTTTCTCTATTCTTTTTCTCCTTAATTAATTTTTTCTTGTTCCAGACGCCATTACAGCCATCAACAGCTTGGCCCTACATTACTTATTTTCTAGCAAAACCAACCAACATCTGTACTATTCCTACAGAAGTAGAAGATAAAGACAGGGCCATTCCTCAATGGAGCTGAGTGAAAAAAGTAAAGTAGGGAATTCAATTAACAGTAGACACAAATGGATCACTGGCTAAAGCTCCAGATATAACCGAATTGATATACACATTATAAAGGGCTATCTTCTCACAGCGCGTTAATTGTTTAACAATCATATATGTTGATCGATCCAATGGTGGTAGTGGGTGAGAAGCGAATTTGGTCACCGTATGAAATGAACCCAAAGGAAATTCATGGAGAAAAAGAAAAGACAACTGCTTCCACCTCCAGTCCCAGATCTTTGTTGAAAGATACATATGATTCTAATTCTGTGGTCCAGGCTAACTCAGAACTCCATGCCAAGCTGCTTGCGTGATCTTCTGGCTCTGGTACATTTGATACAATAAGATGTAAAGATGAAACCGCTTGCTTTAATTTCTTTACGCAACATCGTATAATGTCATAATAATAAATGTTGTGTAACAACAGAATGAAGAAATACTCTTGAGGTGCTGGGCATCGATTGGGATGCATTTATCTCTACAATAAGGGATTGATGGTCGATACGTGCATTTATCTTATCCCTTCAATAAATCATCAATGATCAAAACCTTCTTCTCATGCAATAATCAATTGTTTCTGCAGGGAAGGACCCTATGGTTCTTGCTCAGTTGCTCATGATTTACGCTTGAAGGTCGGATGATATTACCATCTTGATCCATCTTCGCCTTCTCCCATAATATTTGCATCACCTGCACCAACATACAAATTAAAGGTGGTTGACCCAGAAGCTTCTATTTCTAAAACTATCAAATTTTTGTAAATCAAACAGATATTTCATAGAGCCATAGAGATGATGAAACTGTTCACACAGGCAGTCATTGATATTTCCCATAAATAATAATGTGTAGCTAGAATAGAGTGATGATCTAGTTAGCAACAGAAGTGCTAGCGCTTCACCCCAGAGGCATCATGAAATCAATGGAGATTCTGGGAGAGAGAGAGAGATTAGCTAAAGCTAGCTACTTGAATCACAAAGGCTTTTGAGTAATACATACACGCATGTACGAGAGCCATTTTGAGTAATAAAGTAGACCTCAGTTATCAAAGATAATATAGGCTACCACGAGCACTGTTCATGATGCCAATGGCAATATAATAAAGAAACGAAAGCATAGTAAAAACGTCTAAAGAAAAGAAACACATTGATTTCTCATTACTTCAATTTATCCTATTCAACCAATTTTGGTTGCTTTGAATCTGTCACCATTAAATTCGTATATATATAAACAACCTCATATAGGTATAGGTAGAACAAATATCTCAAGTATCTTCTGAGATTCCACATCAAACAACAATGAAGTTCTAATCCACTGGCTCTTATCAGGTCCTCAAATTAGTGCTAACCTAAAAACTACAAGCCACCCCCACAGCCATCCGATCATGTGCATGTTTTCATCAAGGATGGTCAAGCACGTCATGGTGCATTTTCAGATGGGTCTAATTTTTATTGGTCGTACCCAGAAAGTGTAGTGGTCTTTTCTTGTGTTCTATCTCTATCTCCTCGGTGATATATCTTAAAATGATGTTGGCTTTTAATGATCGTGCAAATTCAACAGGTCTGCACTGTATGGTTATAATATTTCCATTCGTTGCTACTAACACACTTAATTCAAGTAAAGTCGCACTACAACAATAAATGTGCAATTTCAAGTAAGTTGGGTTAAGTAATTGAGTGTTTACCATCGTTAAATTCCTTGTCATCTGTGACGCATTCCAGCAGGCACAATATCACCAAGCAGACCTTCGTCCGTCGAAAGCTGTAGGGAGGTTGGTCGTGGTGCTTGGAGTTGGGGCTGCAAAGGCAATTGCCCGGTTCCTGATAGACCTCGGTGAGGTTGTCTGACATCAATGGAAGCTCCCAAGGGGAGATGAACGCGTGGGTAATACAACTGTGGGGCACCGAAGGCGGCTTCATGAGCCATGAAACTGCTTCTTGGGAAGCCAACAGTGTGATGACAATGTTGACCTTCGTATGTTGTGATTACAATACTTGGATCTTCGGAAGACCGCTCCACCCTTTTCTTTACTGTGCATTTGCTGTTTGTACAACGATAATAGCTCCTGCATGAAATAAATACATGTATTGGACCTTTTTCTTCAATTATTCAAGCATTTAACCTAACCCCCTTTTCTTTGTATTTCTCTCTCTCTCTCTCTCCTTAATTTCACACATCAATTGAGAATGGGGTTGCATATATTTCTGGCCATACATGATTAAGGGTTGATTCATTGGGCTTTCTGTGTCAAGTTGCCATTAATTGTGAAGCTTTTTGGACCTTTCTTGGAATCAATGAATTAGAAAGCTCAAAGCATATGTACAATGAAAAATAATTAGTAAGTAAATAGATGGATGTGTATATTAGTTAACAGGATTTGATTTGATGCAGTGCTCATGTAATATCGCTAGAATTATGTAATTGAGTTAAATGGTTTGGTACATGTGCACTCTATTACAAGAAGACCTAAATATTGAGGCCTAATTTCTACCAAAAAAAAAATATCGAGGCCTAATTTGTTTGCAATGAAATTTACTTTTGCATTTGTACAAAAGTAGAGAGCAAATTTGTTGATTGCAAATTTTAATTTTCTTTTAAATTTAAATTTGTTTTGTAAGTTTGCAGTATAAATAAAGTAAAATCGAAATGAAAGCAAAGCAAAGCGAAATCCAAGCAAAAGTGAACCAGAATTGGTACTTCCATGCATTTGTATTAATGCAAATGAAGTTGCTTTGCAAACATAGAGACAGGTAAGAATGCAATTTGAAATCATATTACAGTATTTTACCGTTGAGCCACTCTAAACAAAAATACGACCATGAAAAAAATTAATTAAAGCATGAAAATGTGGAATGATTTGGATATATCAAAATGAAATCATCTGCAAACCTAGGGAATGGGCTGTTTTTTACTGCTTTCTGTCCATATTTCCTCCACCGGTAGCCGTCTTCAAGATGGTCAATTTCGCTTTTAGTCATGAATGCAAATCGTGGTTGTCTAGTCCGCTTTTGTCCCTTCTTTCTGTTCTTAATCCTGCAAACCAGAAAATTCTATGAATGCGAATCGTAGTTGAAAGCACAAAACCGAAACAAAAGAATATAAGAAGGCAAATAAAAAAAAAAAAAACAAATCGACTCTTTTGTTTATGTGAACACTGGTTCAATTTCTTGGGAATTCGATTTAGGCATTTCTACAATCAAATACTAACTGAAAGGAAACATATTAACTACAAATGGGCACATTGAAAAGAAAAGTGGGATGAATTAAGATGCAAGAGTTACAGACTATCAGATTTACGCCTATAAAAAACATATTTTCTAAAATATAATTGAATATTAATACATCATTTCGGAAGAAAAGAAACTCTTTAATTAACCGATACAGGACAAAATGAAACGGCTTAGATTAATGATATCTGCTCTTAATCTGCACTTAGTTTTACCAAGAGAATACAAAATTAATTAGAAGTATCCATCAATGATAGCTAAATCTGGATACTTACAGGCTGATATCCAGATTGAAATATGATTGAATGCATGAGCAAAGAATGCTAAAACGGAAAACAGTTTAAGCCCCGACCAGTAATCTTAAATTAACGATAATATTATTGGTTTCTTCTTCGTTAAATGTTGATTCTGAAAACAGCAAATGCAGAAGCTCAAATTCGGCGTTCTGATTAAATGAAACAATGAGAAATCGAGGCAGAAGAATTACAAAAAAGAACAGGAAAATTGCTTCGGATGCTTCTCTGAGGAAAACAAAATAGGGGGAGAAATGAAGTTATCGCAATTCCCTTTGCTACAACGCTTGGGTACGAAGCCGCAGAAGAAAATGACCTTTTCTTTTTAATTTTTGTAAATGACGAACACTGCTCACAGACGACTAGCTTGTATGAGCCATGAAGATTTTTTCCTCAGGTTTCTACTTTCTAGAGACACGATCACACGAATCAGAATTCACTCGGAAAAGAAAAGAAAAGGTTGAATTTTCATTCGTTATAATTCATTTTTAGTGTTTTCCTTTTGTGATAATTATTGAGGAACGAGGGAGGCCTGTAAGTTGCCCGCGGACGGTGGATGGATGGAGGGAGTAGCTTATTACGATTGTGACCCCGGAGAAAATCAAACCCACAGGAAATTGAAAGTGGAAACCCCGGATTTCACAGAAAATCACTCACGGGGTCTCAGGCGGTTTTTCTTCAGATGCCGTCGACTTCTCCTGCGGCTCGTCGGTCGAGCTCGATGATACGGAGGGATTCGACGGTGAAGCGTCGCCGGACTTATCGACTGATCCTGCCGAAACCGTTTGGCTAGAACCCGGTGCAGCAGCAGGAGGAGGAGGAGGAGTATTTTGTGGTATGTGAGGAATTGAGGTTCCCGCCAAATCGGAGCAACCGTCTAAATCGATCTGATAGAAGGGAGAAAAACTTTCGCTTTCGAGATTCCTGTCCGTATCAGGGCGCAGATTCCAGCCGAATTCACTTAGAATACTGCTCTCCCGATCGCTGCCGAAGAAGTAGTCACTGTCGGCCTCACTTCCGAGTGTCCATCCAGAAGTGCAGGTGAAACTGGTTCCCGGTTCATGTTTCTTCTCGTCGTCATCCATGCCGGAGCGGGAATTTCAGCGAAGATCCGTTGAAAAGAAGTGTAATTCGAGGTTTCTTTCGAAATTCGAGTCAGTGGAAGTTCAGACTAAAACAGGAAGTCGAGATCGAGACAAGGGTTTTTAAGAGCGAAGAATCAAGAGAGAGAGAGAGAGATTAGGGTTTTGTCCAAGGTTGCTTTTCTAATGGAAAGGACGCGTAGTTTTTGAACTTCTGGAAAGCGCTTTGAAAGCTTTGTCCAGTCAAGGCTGTCAAGCGTCAACACAAAAACACGCAGAAGCGCGAGGGAGAAGAAAAAGATAACACCTTCATGGCTTCATTAAAAAATTAATTAAACAGAAAAAGAAAAAAAAACAAATAAATAAATAGATTAAAATCTCAGCGGGCCAGCGGCCGTCAACTTGTTTTTTATTTATGAGTTGGGCCTTTCTGTAATCCAAGCCCAGTACTATTGTTGGATCAAAAGAAAGAAGAAGAGACGGTGAATGGATAGCAACCCAATTTATATTAGTGTACGTTGGAACGTACACACATTTTGCTTGGACTTAAAACAAATTGTTATTTGGAGAGCGTACTGCGTACCCATCTCTCCCTCCTCAATCCTCATTGTGTCGGCCCAATTCCGGTGCGAAAACGATTGTTATTGATCCAAACCCCAAAAGAGATGATGCCGTTTTCCTTTCGAGATAAAAAGAGAAATTTATTTTGATTTTGATGGGCAATTGTGTCAATCTCATGTAGTGGGCGTGAGTGATGATGGATCATGCATTTGTATTGAAATCCATGGGCTTTTAATTTAGATTGAAGAACCCAAGAAAGAAGGAAAAAGACAAATAGATATGTTAGAAGGAGAGAATGAGAAACATGTACATAGGATGGGACGTGGGACTTTGGAGTAGATGGTATTCCCAATTTCCTTTCATGCATGGTAACTGGTAAGACGATACATAATAATAATAATAATAATAATAATAATAATAATAATAATAATAATAAAACAGCCAAATACCTAACCCTACAGCCAATGCTGCTTTGCATGTCAGCCCTACGCGCTCTTCTTGATGCCTAAGTCTACACGTTTAACAACGATTTTGTTTGTATATGTAGACTGTAGAGCCTGACTACAAATAGGGGTATTTCGCCCCAAACCCATAAACCCCCTAAAACAATTAACCAAAAAAATAATAATACTTTATCAATTTATCCACCTTAGTGGCCACAGGATTCATCTCAACCTCAACTAGACCCAAAATCTAATTAAGGCCGGCCCAACCCTAACCCCGATAAAATCGGGTCAGTTCCGAAGCACTGATATCATATTTCGTCCTCACAGCTCCTTATAGCCGTTCATTAAGAATATCTCTCCATGGAATAAAATTACAAATATGAGATGTTCTCAATCCACGAGAGTAAAAGGCTGCAACGACAGGACGAAATCCGAGTTGGTGTATAGATTGTTAGGAGGTTGCTTATGAGACAAGCACCGCGTACAACGTAAGAAGACGCGGTTGCCAGTAAAGCATGAATGATAATGACAGGATTAAAATGTAATTAGAATTAGCAAGCAGTGTAATCAGAATTAGCACTAATCTCTCTCTGGTATTCTTCTCTACAGCAACAGCTCAAGCTCAACCGTTGATGAATGGTCTGTGTCTGAGTTGGGATGAGAGAGGGACGGATCGCCGAGGATTTGGCGCGTTTGACGGACGCTGCCGGCTGCCTCCTACTCCCTCTTTTAACTTTTAGCCCACGGTAGTGGGGACGGGGGTCTCCAACAGGACCAACACCACCTTATTTTATTTCCTTTCATTGCTTAACTTGACCTTCACGCAATCACGTCCTTTTCTTCCAACCCACCTTCATTTTCTTTCTTTCTTTTTATTTTTTCCTCTGATTTCATAAAGTTAAAGTTGTTTCTTATATATTTAGAATTTTTAATACTGCTTTGTTAACTACAACTACCATCATAACTGTTAACGATTTTCTCCTTTCAGACCATAACCATATCTTCAGTAGTCGGATTAACTGTAGCCATCTTATTGAGGAGAGAGATAGAGATCATAGAGACACCCTTTTGATTTGGGTTATGTTATCTGCACGAGCGTGACCCAAACTCATTTTTAAATGTTAGGTAATGAGAATCCTCTACTACTTACTATATGACACCAGTAACACACTTTATCAAAAATGTTTAGTCCTCTGAGATGATATGCGCAGTTGAAGTCTGAGACTAGATAGATATATACGCAAACCTAGCATTCGAACATGATTAAAACAATTTCTCACACATAATTATCATGTAATTCTCAAAACTAGATCGGAACAACCGGTTTCGTTTTGCCTCAAATTGATTTTTGGTAAAAAACCATTGATTTAGTGAGTGAACCATTAATTTAAGCGGTTGAATCACTGAACTATCAATCCAGATAATGATTTTTGACCGTTTTTTGTTTTTAAACATTTGTTTTTTTTTTTATTTTTTTGTCAGAGCAAACTATTTGTTCTGACCGAATGGTCAGACCGTTCGACCCAGGAACTGAACTCAAAACCGCTCCTTGTATGGTCTGGTTTTAAAATTCTTGTGCAAAAGTATTTATATTGATTTTTTATTTAAATTAAGTTAAAAGTATTTAAATTTTTTATTTAATTTTTATATTATTAACAGAGGTCATATAAAATTAGAAGGGATAAATAGACTGTACTCCAGCTCAGAAATCTGAAATTACAGCCCTTCCTACTCTACTACTACCCCTCCCCCCCTTGAACTCGTATCCTGTCCATAAATTTGACATCGATTTATGGTCAGGATTCATCCCACTTATACAGTGAAAGTCAGATTTCTAAATTGAACTGAACAATAAAAACCCCAAATTTAAAATGAATACTTTTTTGAGAAGGTAGATAATTTTCTAATAGATAAAATTCAGTCGCTTAGTACTAACACGTACACTACTGACCAATGAGAATATATTCATCCAAATCCAAGGTGGGACTTCGAGTCCTCTACATGTTTGAGAGCTTGACTAATTAATTCTCATTGGTTAATGAATGTCGAGTTAGGTATCTAGACTCGTTAAAATTGAATTTTTTTCTTTATTTTCTTTTGTTCTGAAACGAGAGGTGACCACGTGTATTGAGAAGAAGCCTCTGCTATGAGGTCTTTGCTTACATATTAGTTTTGTAGGTATCTCCCAATTGTTTCTATTTTCTTGATTTTATTAGCTAGCCATGTGGCAATATGATAAATTAATATTTATCAAAGAGAGAGTAACAGTATGGAATACACAATACAAGATGCGTATTGGTGGTTGACTTTGACCGTTAGGATCACCTTGCATCAACTTGTGGGTCCTCTAACACTTATCTACAAGCCACGTGTTTTCATGCAATAAAAATATCTAGGAATGGAATCTCTAAGGAAGCTCCCTCAAGAAAAAGACTAGTGGCACCTACATGCAATCAACCTACAATCCAAACCCATTTAGGGTTGTTCCGTGGACGTTTATGGATAGGTCATTTATTTATATTTTTTCATTTTAAAGATTCATTTATATTTTTTTAATTTTAAATATTTTTTATTTTGTTTTTATTGTTTGGTTGGGCTTCACTTTAAAGGTTTTTTACTCTTCATCTCATATTAATATTTATTAAAGTGTGCTTCTTTGGCATTTAGTTTTGAGAAATGTTGAGATATTAGAAGAAACGAGAATTTGACATTTCCCTAAATACCTATGCATAAAAATCAAAGTATTTCGATTTTCTACCATTTATTTGATAAACGGTGAAACAAAATAATTGTTTCATTTTGTTTTATATGCAATAAATGCCAATACCTATATGGTGCTGTTGTGGTAGCGTTTTTTTAATAAATGCCCATGAAACTAAATACAGCAGTAGAGTTAACAATACTTAACATTGCCTGTGACCAACATTGGAGAACAATTCAGCGACTCCCGATGATTATTGAACACACCAGTGTGATGAAAAAGACAAAATATCACATTAAACCGGTACCTGATTAACACACTGGCATGTTCAAAAATCATTGGAGGGTCATTAAGCTGTTCGGTACCTGATTAACACACTGGCATGTTCAAAAATCACTAGATCAGGGTAATCTTGTCGTTTGAGTGTTTTGAAAACGACAACTTACTCCATTTTGGTTTTTCACTTTGGACCGGTTCATGTTCAAGAAGAAATGGAGGCATCCATAATAGGGTTTTCATTTTCAGCACGTTGTTTTCCAAAACCTGCCACCTTGAATTAAAAAACAACCACCAACCGAACACCCCCTTAAGTATTGTCGCGCATGAAGGGACGTCGTTTCACCAACTAAAACCCAAATACTCGTTTTCTTTCTTAAATGTAATAAACACCTAAAAGCTAGAGTGAAGTTAATGAAATAAGATCACAAGCCAGAAATGAAGGTTTTTCTTTTCTCCTTCCACCGCTCAATAAGGAGTTAGTTCTATATCTCCAAATATGTATTGTTAAATTCATAGGGAGATGTTTTCAATGTATGACTGAATTCTTGTACTTCAGAAAATCTCATCATTTTAATCATTTTTACTTGAAAGATTGGTGTCTTCACTTTGCATTTTTTAAGGAATTTGAAATTCCAAACCAGACCGGGTTAAAAATGAAATCATCTCCATTTTCTCATTAGAGGGGATTTCCTAAAAGCAAAAATCATATGAAGACATTAAGAGTTGCACATATGGAACATTTCTTCATGAATTTAATATACAAGAATGAAAAACATTTCTTCATGAATTTAATATACAAGATTATATATTCACACGCTTTTTACATTCAAGAGATCTGGACTCATTTCTCACATTGATCCAATTTGCAGTTTGCACACATTACCTTATTCATTCAATCATTTTCTTTAATAGGAACAAATTAAGCAAATCCAAAATCATAAATTAACAATGCAAATTGCAGGCAAAATCATAGAATGAAATAAAATAAGGACAAGCAGTTGAAAAAACTGAAATTGTTTTTTCCTTGGGAGTCCTTCTCATAGAAAAGTTGACATATGTAAAATAGAGAGGAAATAAATAATACAATAATATAACTGATATGGACGGGCAATCTCAAGGAAATTGACGTAAAAACTGTACATTATCCAGAAAGGATCACCTAACAAGTGTACTTCCAGTTTTGTATCAATTCAAGCCATTTGCCTTAGGCTTCTCGTTGACTTGGTCAATTATTATGCCTTCTTACCAATT